ACATTCAAGGAGTCACTTACATTAAGTGCCTATCTTCGTGTTGCCTTTGAGCATTCGAGGGCTTGCAGTGTTTCTTCGTCTGTGAAATGCCTTTGTGTTTTCACCTCTGCTGCTGCCTGTGTTTCGAGTCTAGCATCCCTTGCTTTCCGTAGTGCTTCTACCCTGTCTGCTTCTTTGCGGTCTTCTTCTCTCGCGTGATCACCTTTATTGTTGCTTGCAGCTTTTTACTTGACTTCGCATTTTCTTCTTCGGCTTTAGGTACCTTGATCTCCCCACGCCCCACTCAAATACACACTAGCTCACTTCTGATTGTTAGTTTCTAAGCCTGTCACCTTGGCACAAGGTTACGGGGTGTTCTGCAATGTCTTTGATATCGCGTGTTGTATTTTTCAGCACGCCAGCGCTTTAAACACCGCAAAAACATGGAGAAACTGGTTCTAACACAACCCATTAGAGAGTGGTGCAACCTATGGCACACGCATTTTCTTTCTCAGAGTGAAAAAGTAAATGCAAGACATCACAGATAGCAAAAAACAGAGCGGGACACACCCGTAACCTTCAGGAAAGTCGGCCAGCCCAACAAACTTATAAATGAAAAGTGACCTACTCTATTTGGGGAGATTAACATGAGCCTAAACGCATGACTGGCACTCCTCTGTCTGCATTAGTTCACTTCTAGTATTGTCACAGTTGGGTGGCTTCCCTTTCTTCAGTTAGAATCGAAACAAGATTAATATGGCCTGGAGAGAATGAGGCTCCTGTCTGGCCGGTTCACTACACTCAGGGGAAAGGCAAGACATATCACCAGATTACGAATATCATTAGTATTTAAACTCTGCGCTGGCTGCTGAAGATGAGGACGGAGTACGTATGTGAATGTCCCGAAAGCTGTGTTGTCAATTCGTGACTCAACAACCCTCAGTTCAGACCCCTGATCGTACTTTGCCTTAGTTCTGCACATTAAATTTCGAATGTTTTATCGCAATAATTTATCATATCTTTACAGTGCGCCTTCAATTTTTCTGTCGAGTAGTGGGCTTTACACTATTTATTTTATGTAATTACGATCTGGGAGTCGCCGCTGCGTAGCGGTTAGACGCTTGCGTGCGGATCGGAAGGTCGTAGGTTCACTCCCTGGCGGAGCCGGACTTTTCCCCAAAAATATCCTTGACTCACAGGTCAATCCAGCCTTGAGTGGGTACCGGGTGTAGTGCTGGGAAATAAAGGCGGCCGGCATGACCACATCACCTATCTTGTGCCGATTAGTCTATAAAAATAGAGGTCTAGCCCTATATGCCCTATACGCCTAAAGGCGTGGAAAAGGGAACTTTACTTTTTTTTTTAAACTTACTTTGTCTATGCTCTAATTTCCTTATCACGTCTTCGCCTTTCCTTTATGTTTGGAAGATATTTTATTACAATACAAATACTAATTACTAACAGTTTTTTACTCCTATAGTCGCATCCCCCCCCCCCCTTTTTTTTTTTTTTTGTAGTCTTTTTTCCTTACTTATCTAAATAAACAGTATAACAAACACATGTCACAACTCCAGTAAATTTTTGAGTCAAATCTTGAGAACATGCATCTTTGTGGCAACATATCTTATGTCACATGCAGGGTCAAATGCCGATTTTCAATAGTGTCTGAACCTTTAGTTAGTTAGTTCGTTAGCTGGATTATCATCATTGCACTCCGGACATGTCCATAGGTGCTCAGAACCTCCCCTCAGTTTGAACCCCAACGTCCGATGGCTAATAGTACCAGTTCTATGTTGATTAACAAGTCTTCTGGTGTGTCTGGTGTGGGTCTCGTTGTTTGTTAGGCCGATGTTAATTCCCAAGTCTGCCATTCTGGCGAGTGATGTGGATTCCCTGCGCCCAAAGTCCTCTATCCTTCTAATTTCTCTGAGGGCATTAATAATATCAGCATGATCCATAAGCTGACCGTCGGTAGTGATAGTGGATCAAGCCAACCTATCAGCTATTTCATTTCCATCGACGCCTGCGATTCCAGGAACAAAAATAAAGGTGACTCCATGCACAATGGACTTCTGTGCACGCTTTCAAATCCAGCTGCGACTCGCTGCAGCCTATGGTCGGTGTTCGAAACCGGGCGGCTCCCGGGGTTCACCTAGCCTCTAGGAAATGGGTACCAGAGTTAATACTCTGGGTAAATGGAGGAACGTCGCTGTAGCCACAGAGTTACGTGCGAACGGCGACACAGGCGGACAATTCTTATCAGCTGTCCGTACTGGTGGCAGAGCACTTATGGTTTATAACCATGTGCAGTGACGATGGTTCACATCTCCCGACTTTACCTTTACCTTTATCTGTAATGATTCAAGCCATTGTCATCGCCGGAACCTGCATGAACTCTCTGGATCATACTCATTGAATCACTGAGTGTCTGAACCTTTAAGAAAATCGATTCACAATTAGCACCATGTCTAGGAAAATACTTCGGGCATATTAGATGCCACAATGGTTTGGAAATAAAATAATGCATGGTATAAGCACTTAAAGGTGGAGAAGACGTTTACCAGCACAAAGAAGGATGTAGGACGATTCTCAGCTTTTTTTTTGGTTGATCGAGCCTTTTTAGTAGCAGTTACTTTGACGGAGTATTTCTAGGGAGTACTATTTCTAGGGAGGCCACGTGAGTAAGAGTGCTTTGCAGGTCCGCTCACTTTTATAGTCTGTCAATAATTTTGAAACCAGCTGAAGCAGATTCTACTTTCTGTTTCTTAATCTTGATAAAATGGCCACAATATATGTTTGTAACAATGAGAAAGAGAATTATTCAAAGCTATGTGTCCTATCTTGATATACAGATGTGAATCATGGACAGTTGGTAGATAAGTGAAAAATTATTTAGAAGCTGCGGAAATGTGGTTTTATAGTAGAATATTAAGGATACGCCAGACAGATACAAAAGAGTAATGAAGATGCCTTTAAAGAAACTGAATCACAAAGAGAACTGATTGCCAACATTTTTTGGTCATGTGATAAGGAGAAAACTGGAGCAGTTCGTGACATTAGGGAAGTTGGAGGGGAAGATAAACAAAGGAAGACCGAGAGAAATTATGCTGGTCAGTTGGACATCGTGGCATGGAAGATCATCCGTATCAGAGTTGATTAAGAGTACACGAGACAGAAGATTGTAGATAGAAGTGACTACCAACGCCACACGGCAAGGACTTTCAGAATAAGAAGAAGAAGAACAATGTGTGTGTGTGTGTGTGTGTGTGTGTGTGTGTGTGTGTGTATGAAGGGTGGGTGTCGGGGAAACAGGTACAAATCCGGGCAATTCAGCTGAACCGTATTGATATTCTGGCATTAGATGACAATTTTAATTTTGTGACTTCTTCTTCTTCTTCTTCTTCTTCTTCCTCCTCCTTCTTCTTCTTCTCCTTCTTCTTCTTCTTCTTCTTCTTCTTCTTCTTCTTCTTCTTCTTCTTCTTCTTCTTCTTCTTCTTCTTCTTCTTCTTCTTCTTCTTCTTCTTCTTCTTCTTCTTCTTCTTCTTCTTCTTCTTCTTCTTCTTCTTCTTCTTCTTCTTCTTCTTCTTCTTCTTCTTCTTTTTCTTCTTTTTCTTCTTCTTCAGCTGTAAACTCTGGTGGAAAGTTCTGGTTGTCTGCCCACTTCGGTACTGCAGTCCTGTTCCAGAACCTGAGTGTTGCGTGTGCATCCGTTTGACATATCTGACACATTTGTGTGCAGACTGTTGGTTCCTTGCCTCTCAGGCAGATGCACTCCAATTTCGAAGGAAGCTCCCAGTTAGTCTGCTCTTACAACATGGTTTTGGGTAGGCAGTGGGTCTATTCTTGTTTTCATTATAATAGGGCCCCGGCACCCACACGGGCGATTTTGTGACATCGAATTTAACACAGTTCCCGTTGCATAAATTGTGTGTGTGTGTGTGTTTTTTTTTTTTTTTTTTTTTTTCTGTGTTTGATTCGCCTTCGGGTAAGCCAAGAAACAAGTTCCTCGGTTTTGTTGGCCCTTCGGGTGTACACAAAAAGTTGAGGAACACCGGGGTAGACGTTTGCCCATCCTTGTCCCAACTCTCAGTGCAGTACTTGTGGTGTCATTTATTTATCTATATCACGATTTCTGTGTCCTTTACTTTATAGCAATGACAAATTAACTGACTGACTGACTTTTTACCCCATCAGGACATCACACAAGCGATAAACACCCGATGACACAAAGTGCCACCATGTGGATGAGGATCACCGTGGAGAGGTCCCAGAAACCGCGTTCAGACAATTGGCCATATTTATGGCCTGCCTATATTGCGGCCCCTGGCAAAAGCCAGAGTGGGGCTTCAAATAACAAAAAAATTACGTCATAAAAAGGACGTAGGGTATAACGACTGACAAATTAACTTATAACAACTTCTTTTATAACAAAATCTCACCATGAATTATAAACAAATAGATAAAACAATTTAAGTGACCATGTGATATTTGTTCTGATTTAATTTCCTCTATTTTAAAGCATTTCATGTAAAGCGATTGATTACAACTAATGGATTTGGAATCGAACAATAATAGTCTGCTTTTAAGAAGTTCAACCAACTTGCCGGGCGCAGGGCTGCCAAGGCTGGGTGTTTTACCCCCAGATATGGATGTTTTTATTTGACGCCTCGGGTTTAAATTTTGAAATGTTTTTTTCTTAAATAAATCTTTTTATAAAATTGGGTAAATGTTGCTTTTACTAACTATATAAAATTTGTACTTTTTAACAATCTGGGTTTTTTTCTTTACTTGTGAATTGATTGGGTTTTTGTTCAGCTTAGCTGGGGTTTTAAACAAAAATCCCATTGGCAGCCCTGGCCGGGCGAGAGGTCAAAGGTGACATTGCAAATATAGGCCAAGGATTCTCTGGTAAAATTGTGTTGTTCAAACCTTCGCGAAATACCTCAGCTACTAGTACCACTACAAGCTCGCACCTCGTACGATTTATATCGCTACTTGAGTCCTTGGAGGAAGCAACAGCCATGGTGAATCTTGGTGAGGTTTTCCCCAACTTTTCTGCCAACACGTCAGAGGGCCGCATAGAGAAGTTTCACGACTGGATTGGCGATGACTCGTAAGTTTTTCCATCTTCATGCCGGATGCTGTACCATATATCTAAATGCAAATGTCATTCATTATTAATTTGCTAATTCAGTTTTCAATATATTCGACTGCTAGTCATTTCTACAGGGATTAATTTTGCTTCCTTGTTAGAGAGAGAAAGAGAGGAATGCGTTGTTTGTGTGTAACAATTGTATGTTCCAGTTTCCAGCTAGTTGTAAGTTGTATTTTAAAAAAATTTTATTACGCATCTTTCCTTGAGACAGTTGTCAGAATGTTCATGAAGTCTAATATTAATTTTTTATGAGGCTGTGTCCACGATCCACGTCAGAGCTCATCGGTGACCAGGTCGTCCATTGGCTCGCCGGTAGACGACTTCACAGCGGTCGGAGACAGTATTTTTGGGTCTGTCGCATTTGATCCTGATGGCATCAACACTGTAAGAGTTCTTTTCAGAGCAACTTGGTGGCGAGCAGTGCTAAGCCGTTTTGTATGGTGCACATAACCTAGTCACAATTATAACCTAAAGCTGTCCCTTCCGGGAAGCTGGTTGAACGTGATAATTTTTTTTTAAGAACAAAGCAACGGAATGTCAGAGCCGCACTGGTACTCACTGCTGGGTATTAAGCACGACCTACTGTCTCAGTAGGCAAGTGATTTCACAGTGATAAAATGCTAGGATTTATGATTATGTTGAGAGAAGTTGAGAACCAATATCACAGCACTGAGGGCATTCACCAAAGCCTTATCCCCATCTGCTGCAGTCAGCACATACTTGTGAAGAAAAGACAACGTTAGTATGGGACATTTGTTTTTAGAAATATCCATGAAGAGGGTTTTCCAGCCTTGATCCCAATATTCCATCAGATAAAGCCGGACTATTCAACTGATGGCTTGCTGGCCACATTTGGCCAGCAGATGCCTTGCAAGTGGCCTACGGATCACTGCCAATTGTATTGTACTAATGATCTTTCTATGTTGGGGCTCAGGCTCAGTGTTGACAGACATTGAGGAGCGGCTATCTTAAGAATAAGGGTCCCAAATTATTGACACAGAAAATATACCCTAACAGGGCCTCAGTCACGTGTCAATTGTGCACTTCTAGTGAATGTAATTGCACATTTCCGCCACCGCATATTCCCCATGCTGCTCACGGGGCGGGGATTGGGGCTAAACTAGATGGCTGCGACTCACGAGCAGCAGCTACCGCATTTCCTGCAGCTGCCTTGATTTTATTTGCTCGTGAGTCCCAGCTATCTAGTTTAGCCCCAATCCACGCTGCTTGAGCGACATGGGGGATACTCTCTGCGGTGGTGGTATAGTCCCTGGAAGTGAGCAATTGACACGTGACTGAGGCCCTGTTAGGGTATATTTTCTGCTTCGATAATTTGGGACCGTTATTCGGAAGATAGCCTGAGGAGCTAGTCATTACCCACACTGTACGTGGATGTATGGCAGGAATCTGGCATGAGGTTCTGTGAAAACTGGCTGTGAGGTATCCCTTTATGCATAGCACATGTTGGCACTTTTCAGTTTTCCAGATGACAGTGTTGTCTTATAAAAAGACATACAGGACATTGAAGGCTCAACTACCTTCTTCTTTTATTCTACCGTGTACCTCATTGAAGTGTTTGGGGGGGGGGGGGGGGGGGGGGGGGGGGAGGGAGGGAGATGTAATATTCATTGATGAGCTCTGTCAAGAGCACTATTAGGACTGATGTTCATTTCTGTAAGGCTGTTCTTAATGCCATCACTCCGTATTTTCCTAGGTCTTCCACTCGCTGTATACCCGTTGTAACGTTTTAGTGTGGCTTGCTGTGGCAGATAGTACCAGGGCATTCTTGTTAGGTGTCGAAACCACTTCATTTGTTGTTCTTTGATGACCCGTAAGACTGGCTTTATTCCTAGCATTTGTCTGATTTCATATTCTGTCTTTCCTTGAAACTCCTGCAGCTCTTCTGAGGCATTTCATCTCTGTTGTCACAACTACCACATGCATAAAATAAGGACTGTACAGCCCCCACAGTGTGCTTGTCAGACAGGACCACAAACACCTGAGCACATTCTGCAGATCTGCCCACTCTACCTACAACTTCGTAAAGAAACCTACCCTCAAGAGCAAAGTGCAGACCAAGCTAAAGGGAACCATGAAGGACCTGCAGCTGACATGTGAATTCATAGAGGCAATCCATCTGATGGTCTGACCTGAGCATACAAAACCGAACGCATAGAAGAAGAAGGCATGGGAATCGCAGCCTGTGTTGATGGCGAGTGTGAGAGTTACTAACAAGATCTGCTTATGTTAAGGAAAGTTTTTAACAGTTATTAGATCTTTGTTGCCATTTCATTTGTTTAATAGGCTTTTTCTTTGACACTCAACTCCTAACTCTTTCAGTCCCAGCTATTGTTGAATTCAGCATTGCCCATGCTAAAGCTTTTATATCCTAATTTTTTGTCTCAAAGAGCTGAAAAATACAACTCTAGGAGAGAAGGTTTATACTAACGACCAGAAAATAAGGGGTTAATGTAACAGAAGAATGGGATCATCATCATCATGTGCCCTGCCAGCTGGTGTAGGCACTCATGCATCTCCACAGATCATGATGCCTGGAACAGCTCTCTTGGTGAAATCCTTCCATGCCATCATTTCAGCCCATCCAGCATCTTCTCTCTTGGTCTGCCTCTACCCTTTTTCCACTGATCTTTCCAGTTGTCATGATGTTCTCCAATGTCTCTCTTCTCATTATGTGGCCAAAGAACAGTGTTTGTCTCTTTCTTATTGTTGTATATAGATATCTTCTTTCATTAGCCTCTTTCAAGCAATCGTTGTTAGTTTCTCTGGCTGTCCAAGGTATTGGTAACATTCGTCTCTGAAACATATCTTTTGCTTCCAAATTCTTCTTAATTTGGTCAGTGACATTCCAAGATTCACTGTCATACAGCAGAACAGGTTCTGTGTAACATTTTAGCACCCTCTTTCTGACATTAAATGAGAGTGATTTTTTGCATAAGATATAAGAATGGGATAGGAAAATGAAATAAATGTGTACCACATATAGAGTAACCAATGAACATATGTTGAGTTTGTTGGTATTAAAAGAGTTAACCTATCTGCAATCTTTTCTCCTTCATCCCTGTTTCTTTCCTGATCCCCCCTCTGCCTTTTGCAGCACAGCCCATAACATTCTATACCAGGAATCCACCTCATTATCTTGTTTTTTCTTGGTGCAATTAAGTTAACAAAGTTTCACTACCATAGAGTGCTGAGAATACAAGGTTAATATGCAAGGGTTTTACAGATCCTCTTCTGTATATCACATGACCTGAGAAGTATTGTAGATATCATGTAAGGGTTGTAAAGTTCCTCCTCTCTATAGCACAAACTCTGAGAAGTATTGTAGATATCATGTAAGGGTTGTAAAGTTTCTCTGTATAGCATAAAGTCTGAGAAGTATTGTAGATATATAAGGTTTGTAAAGTTCCTCCCCTCCATAGCACATAGCCTGAGAAGTATTGTAGGGAACATGTAAAGCTTGTAAAGTTCCTCTGTGTAGCACAAAGTCTAGAAAGTATTGTAGAGACTGCCCCTGCAGCAGGATTTCATCAGCCAACAACCCCAACTTGCCCACATGCCTGTAACATAAATCACCACACCACTTCCTGAAAATCTAGTAATAATGTTTATGAGGTTTAGAATATCAGCAGTAACACATTTATGGTCCTCATGTATTGTCATGTATGGTCCTCACGTATTGTCATGTATGGCCCTCACGTATTGTCATTTATGGTAGTAAATAAAGACAATTGCTTGTACCAATACAACACTGTCTCTAGGAAAAGGATTATGGGCCTTGGTATCTTAACTCATAAATATTATTGTCTAACATTCTTTATATAAGTTTGTTATGAGACGGTTATTTATTTAGTAGGTGGGTGCTTTGCTGGAAAAATATAATTTTCACGTTCAACCAGCACTCCCGGAAGGGAAGCTTTAGGTTATAATTGTGACTATGTTATGTGTGCCATATAAAATGGCTTAGTACTGCACGCCACCAAGAGCCCTGAAAAGGACTCCTGCAGTGTTGGTGCGATCAAAGAAGACAGACTCAAATACTGTCCCGACGCGAGGAAATCGTCTACCGGTTAGCCAGTGGGTTACCCGGTTGCTGATCTGGGATTTATTTACTAGCCCAGATAATTTTGCAGAGCTCAGGTCGACTTAGCCCACGCAGGAAAAGTTTTGGGAAGTAAAGATAGCCAGAGTGAATTTGACCATATTATACATCAAGCGCTAATTGGTCCCTAAAAATATGGGCCTAGCATCATATGCCCAAAGCGCTAAAGGCATGGGAAGGGCTCTTGACTTTTCTTAACTATGGAAGAAGTAGTCATTTCATTTAGAGATATCTTGTTCAACCTTTTTCGTTTGTTATTAGGATGTGTAGAGTCTGTATCTTTTCATATACTTGCTATTTTTATTTGTCTAATTATCTCAACTCTGAGTCCCAGGGGGTTTAGCATTAGAGGCCCAAGGGATAGTCAAGAGAGATGTAAAATCGGCACATCTGGCATTCACTGGGGCCCTAGGCGGAAACCTATGAACGTATGATGCGTTCCTTGGGACTCAAAGAGTTAAGCTATGTAATATTTAATAAATTCTAAAGTTCTAATTATACAAGACTATAAGCCCGGCTCTCTAGCGTAATTGGCTAAACCGGATTGCGCGGTGACCGGGTGACGAACTCCTTGTGGTCCGGGTTCACTCCCGGGGGTAGGCAGAAAAGCCACATTTTCTCCCAGATTTACGGTATTTACAATGGAATCAAGGCCGTAAGGTTGTGATATCCATAATACCGAGCCTAAGGGTTAACAACTCATGGCTTCTGGATACTTGTTGTGTGCTAAATTGAGTCAGCACACTACCAAGTGTCTAGCAGGTACTCTTCAGCTTCCTTTCTTAACAAGACAACTCGACGACGTCATACAAGTTTATTTAACAGGATACATGACACAAATGCAGAGACGTGGTTATTGATCACAGCTGACATTCGCACATCGTTCATTTGTCCTCACAGCTCTCGATCTCTCACTGTGTAGTGACCTCTCCTGGACAACTGCAGATACCAGGACGACGGCGTCCCACTCTCTGGACGCGTCGTACAGCTGAACAGGACGACTTCTCCCATTCACTGGACCTTGATATTAATTCAGCATACAACACGGCTGACTGGAGACGGACTTCTCTTGCCGTACTCCGAAACCAGGCACTACTGGTCTTTCCGTCCCCTGGGCTTACTTTGCCAGCGGGACCATATTTTCCATACCGCAATCCCGACACTTACTCAGACCTAAATGCCTGATAGTCGTACGGTATTCTAGTCGGTTAGACTCCAATGACCGACAGGACTTCTACCATAAGTCCTCTCATACTTTTGACATGTACCGCAATCTCGACACTTACTCGGACCTAAATGCCCGATAGTCGTACGGTATGTTTGTCTGTTAGACTCGAGAGATTACCTGGACCCTGACTTGGTCTCTGACTCTCGTTTCTCTCGGCTGATCCCTCGTGCTGCGTGTGTGATACACCAACACTTCATCACCGCTTCTTGGCTGATCCCTCGTGCTGGGTGTATACTACACCCACACTTCATCAATGCCCTTAGCCCTGTGGTTACATCTCTCTCTCTCTCTCTCTCTGTCTACTGCCCCCGAGGGGCTTTAGCCCTCAGGCTACAGCTCACTCTCTGGACTGTCTACGCAGCCCAATTTATATATGTCGAATCCGTGTAGGTGGATGGTGATTACACGAGAGGCACGCTTGTGTGGGCGTTCTCGTGAATCATGATCCTGTGGGTGTTCTCGGGACTCGCTCATGTGAGCGTTCCCGAGGATCACGCTTATGTGGGTGGCTGATGTTACCCGAGAATCACGCTGTCACTTAATTCACACTTTATCTCGTTATCCACGCTTTCAGCCCACCACACAGAATCCTATGCATCCACTTTCTCTCGTGCAAGCACGCCTTGTTCATGAATAGACGTTTTCACTGGTCTCCTCTTAATACTCGGATCATATTGACACTCTTTCCTCGTGAACTTACAGGAAGTACAGGCATACCATTGTCCCTTCCCACAATATCACACTTAACCCAAATCAACGCGCAACAATACTAAAACAAACAAACATACAAGACTATAATATTATAGATTATAAAAGTTAATTTAATAAATAATAAACAAACTTTCCAAATATATTTATGACATCTTCTTCTTTTTTCACCGGCTGAAGGCTGTGGTAAAAAGTCCTCGTTGTTCGATCATCTGGACTTTGGCTTTGTGTCGGGCCTGAGTTTTGCGTGTACAGCTGTTTTACTGGCTTATTTCTGAGCAGTTGGTTGTTCCTTGCCGCTTGGGCAGATGCACTTTAAGGGAAACCCCCGTTAGTCGATTCCTACGATATGCTTGTTGAGGAGGCAGTGGCTCTATTCTTCCATGGTCTATTCTCTACAGCAGACGACAGCTTGAGTTCAGAGTTCATCACGTGTAGATCTATTCTTGTTTTCCCTACAATCGGGCCCTTGAAACTCACATGGGAAGTTTATATCACCTTGTATTATCAGTAAAAGTCATTGTCATCAACTTCTGATATTGCCGTTTAGTGTTGTGGGGAGGAATAGTTAGCAGTCTGGCATTCAACAGGTAGCACTAGCTTTTGTTATTCCTTGTGAAGTGATTGACTAATTGATTGGAACCTATCAGTCTTTCAAGATGATAATGTAATAGTGCGCTATGAGGAGACATGGGACTCACAGCCCATGTTGATGACGAGTGTGACTAGCAAGACCCGCATTAAGAAAAATCTTCCACAATTATAGCCTCTGATTTTAGGACCATTGTTGTCAACATTTATGTTTAGTGTGTTTCTTCTCAAACGCTCAGCTCTCAACCTTTCTGAAGTCATTTCTTCCTTCATTCTCATTCCCTTCCTGATGTGCCCCCCTCCACACAGCACGGTCCATGGAATTTTGTTTTCACGAGTCCACCTCATTACCTGTATCATTCATGTCCTGCTTGCACACTTTTATATTGTATTAGAGGTCTGCCTCAACATCTTCTACCCATTTGTAATTTACCATAAAGGATGTCGCTAAGGACTCTACCATCCTCAATCCTTTATGTGTGACCCAACCACCTGAGCCTTCATAGACTGAGCATTGAGAAAAATGTAATACCTGCTTTTTTCTAATTCCTCAGCATTTGTGATCTTTTCCAGCCACTTAATGCCCAGTATTCTTCTTAGGCATCACATGCAAAAGCTATTTAGCCATTTCTCATGGTATGAATAAGTTGATGTGGTTTAATATTATCTTTAATGTCAGTTGCATGTCTTTGCCATACTGGCTAAGTTTCCAGACGAAACAACATTAAAGGTATCTAACATGCTGAAAAAGAATGTACCTCAGCACTTACGGACTGAATGGTTTGATGTGCGGTGAGGATAATCTGTCAGCTCACTAACCACTTGTTTTTAAGATGTCTTTGCCATCAAACCAAGTAGTTTAGGTCCATCTAACTTGATGTCCACTATCACGTTTCATTTCAGATGGGCCATTCTATTCTCTCACCCTGCTGACTACACGCCTGTTTGTACCACAGAATTAGCAAGGGTGGTTACTCTGGTGCCTGAGTTCAGGAAGAAGAATGTGAAGCTCATTGCTTTATCATGCGACAGTGTGGAGAGTCATAAAGGTTGGGGAAAGGTAATTACTGATTTAGACGTATTTCCATGGCGTTTGTGCGTGGCATCCTGATTGCTGTTGTGCACCTCCTGGCTGGTTGCCTCCGACTTCAGCACCTTGTTTTGCTAGGGTAGACTGTGGTCATACTCGAGGAGAGTAGGCTCATCCATTCGTCTTACCTCGATTGTTGTCCCATCCAGTTTCCCACTGGGGGTTGAGACTCCAACCTTCCACTAGATTACTGGGAAGAACAGGGTCCACCATGTGAAGGTGAGGTAGGCTTGAGCAGAAGAGGCTAATTGACATTAAGAGTCTTGTATTGCGCATCATTGCTCCATTAGGACCACAGAGTTTTTTAATATGGGTGTATGTTAGTACTTGAGTTTCTTGTCTAATTATTTTGATGTCTTGTGTGGGTGGGGGTGGGGGGGGGGGGGAAGCTCCGGGGAGTAGCGACTAGACACCCGGCTGCGAATCTGAGAGTCATGGGTTCAAATCCCACAGTTTTAACCATGACCTTGGCTCACAGGTCAGCCAAGCCTTAAATCGGTACTAGGTAAAGTCTGGGGAAGTAAAAGTGGCCGGCGTGATGTTTTTATATGGACGAACATATATGAATAGGCGGACAGACTGGCTGGCTCTGCACAGCTTGGTGGAATACTGATGCAAGATAAGGCAGACGTGGTTAGTGCCTTGTGGGAGAGCTTGTACAGTTCGGAGGAGCAGATTGATCACCACGTGTAGGGAGATTGATGCACTTGGGGGTGACGAGAGGATCTGGCAGATGCTCGAGGCTCAGAGGAAAGGCAAGACCGACGTTTTATCAGAATGCTACTGGCACCATTAGTATCGGAACTCTTTGCTAGCTGTTGAAGATGAGGATGGAGCGCTTATGGGAATGCCCCGAGTGCTGTGATATCGGTTCTTGAATCAAATGAATCAAATCAAATATATGGGCAATGGTGAATATTGTGTTTCTTGTAAGGGTGGAAGGGGATAAATACTTGAGTTTCTTCTATAATTATTAGCATTTTTTTTTTATAAACAATTGTTTTTTGTTTCTTTTTAAACGGGCTATGGTTACTCGAGTTTCTTGTATAAGGAAATGTAAGTATCTGAAGTGTTTTGTGAAGGAAGGTAGTTATTTGAGTTATTTGTATGGGAAAAAGTGGGGGGGGGGGGGGGGGGGGGGGGGGGGGGGAGTGGTTAACAACTTGAGTTTCTTGTTTAGGAGGAGGTAGTTACTTGAGCCCCTGAAGGTGTAAACTGAATATTTCAGTATAACCTGGACATGAAAATGTGTGAGAGAAACTAGCAAATGATGGAAGAATAATTTTGATGGGCCTGACGACAGCAGTTTTCAGCAAGACATCCTACACAGTATTGACCATTATGTGGTGAACAAATTAAAGACCCTTTTTTTTCTCCAAATCTGGCGGCTTGTTTGTTATTTTACAAGGAAATTTTATGTTCAGTAGTTTGTAATCAATGGCAAACTACTGGACGTAAATTTGCCTAGAAAAACCACACAGCAGCCAGGGGCTGTTGGGGTTGGTTCTGCAACGTCCTGTAAAGGATACACAACTAACCTAGTTTGTCATCGCTCACTGAATGGTCGGCTCTCCGTTCTGGATACCACTGTCAGCACTAATGCAAGGTGGTCTGCTGCCTGATTGCCTGCAGCTGGGACCTCAGCATTATGAAGTGTGTCTGCAGCATCTAAGCTAAAGACACAGTTCAGGGTATTTGTTGGTATTTTTTCATTCTCCAGGCGGCTGGGTACAAAGTGAGAAGTACTGCACACAAGCTTTGACTGTGTGTGAAACTCGGCGAGGGGTAAGGGAAAACATACACACATAGATAATTCAGCGTTTCACCCAAAGTCTTTATCAACGACCATCACAACAAAAATAATAATAATACTAGTGGCAGGGAAAGTTCCCCCCCCCCCAAAAAAAAAATGATGAAAATAGGGATGACTGCAGTAGAGCAGATATTTTCTTCATACTGCTTCTTAGCGTTCAAACTGTAAACTCCAGCAGAAAGTTCTGGTTGTTCATCCACTTCTAGACTTTGGTCTTGTCTCAGGACATGAGGTTTGCGTGCACATCTGTTTTATAGATGTGGCTTATTTGTATGCAAACTGTTGGTTGTTCACCTTTCAAGCAGGTGCACTCTGACCTTAAAAAAAACCCTCCTAAGTTGCTTTTACGACATGCTTGTTGGCGGGGCAGAGAGTCTGTTCTCGCCCCACACCCCCCAAAATCCACAAAGAGGAGAGCTGGTGTCCAAAAATTGATTTTGCTGAACACAAACCTTCTAAACATAGCCTGTGTTCAGTGAATTCATTTTTTTGATTCCAGCTTGACTGACAGTCCGTCATTTTCAAGAGAGTGAATAAGTTCAAATACCTCTTATGTTCATCATCATCATCATTATCCTGTAGCACGTCCTTTGCAGACGGTGCTCTCATGACGGTCTGCCTGAAAGAAACTCAATCTCTTTCCAGCTCTCCTGCCTCATGTACTTTCATATTCACGGATTCACTTATATCCTGTACCCATTTTCATGTTAGTTGGCCCCTGCCCCTTCTTCCTGGTACCATGTCTTCTGATGTCTTCTGCTGTTATTCTTTCCTATCCGCCTTGGCACTTAATATGGCCAAAAATGGGTGCTTCATTAATATCCTACCCCAAACAGGGAAAATCCACAGGTCATGGGACAGTCTAGTATTTTAGGGGGTGGTAGATAGGACACAATGTATGCAGTCATGGGACCTAGGCTGCACTCTCTCATGGGACGTAGGTGGGTTGGGGTTAGGGCCAGTTCTAGATGTTTTGGGGTCGTTATAGGCATCAGAAAGTGGGAAAACCCAGTCTTACCACCGAAAGAACCCACAAATGTTCCCGTCTGTGTTTACCAGGATGTGTTACATTATGCTGGCTCCAAGCAAGAGAAGCTGCCTTACCCTATCATTGCTGATGAAAAGCGGGAGCTGGCGGTGCAGCTAGGGATGATTGACCCAGACGAAATCGACAAACAAGGACTGCCCCTCACTGCAAGAGCTGTCTTTATCATTGGACCTGACAAGAAACTCAAATTGTCCATTTTGTATCCAGCAACTACTGGACGTAATTTTGAGTAAGTCTGATACTCATCCGTTCATGCATCCATTGATCTGTCTCTGTCTGTCTCTCCACCCTTCCATCTGTTCATCAATTCATCCACCCATCCATTCAGCCATCTCTCTGTCTGTCTGCCTGCCTGTCTATTCCCATGTTACTCGTTCTGAAAAGATACCGAAATTCTCCATTTTAAATTATACAATTACAAGATATGATTTTCAATAATTTTAATTACAGTTCAACAGTTAGCAGGCTCCATCGGGCAATAAACGGCAGAATAGGGGAAAAAAAGAAACATGATTTTAAATTATCTGTGTGTTACAGGGACCAGTAGTAAAGTATTGTAACAGTGTAACCTAATATTTGCATATCATAAGAAGCTAACATTTAATAAAAGGCTCACATGGAACAAACATATAGACAATGTAGATGGGAAGGCCAGGAGATGACTAGGCCTACTTAGAAAACTTGCAGGTACAGGATGGGGAGCGAAAGAAAAGAACCCTAAAGAAAGTTTATAATGGAGCGATAAGACCCCACTTGGAGTTTGGTGCAACAGTATGGTCAACAGCTGCTAATTCCCATCTACAATCGTTAGAGTGAAAAATCAAGCCCTTAGACTCATCACAAGTTTCATGAAATCTGCACCAATCCTGGAGACGCAGAAAATAACTGCAATGCAAAAATTGTCCTATAGAAGAGACACTAAAACTATGATCATGATGGAGAAGTTTAATAATATGCAGTCACATCCAAGAATGCAAGATAAGATGACCTGGCATTGAGGCGTCTCAAACGTAGCAGCTTTTTCCACCGGGGAAAAAGACTTAGAAGACAGTACCAAGTTGATCTACCTATTAAAACAACACCCCTGAAACCTACCCTATACCCTGTACCTTGGGAGCAAGTCAGTGATACAATACAGATAATGATTTCAGTCAATGGATTCACAGCTGTAGATGAGTCCAGTGACCTTCAAAAACGAACAGCTGCTCTTAGCTTTATTCAGGAAAACTATCCCGATCAGTAGTGGATACATGTTTACACAGATGGATCAGCAACCAGTTAAAAATGGGGGTGCTGGCGTCTTTACTACAACCACCGCCACACCAAGTGTATACCCACTGGTAAATTCTATTCCAACTACACAGCAGAGATTGTAGCACTAGAGCAGGCTGCCAACATGTTACACAACACCAGTTCTGACTGCCATCAAGTGGTCATATTCACAGCTGCGCTATTGGCGTTTCAAGCCCTCAAGAGTAGCAAACTCCCTTCCTTGATATCTGAACTTGGCAAGGTGGCTGCCCAAAAGCGTACAGTACTCCAGTGGGTGCCATCCCACACCAGGAAATGAAACCGCAGATAAACTTGCCAAGAAAGGGGCAGAATATGACTCAGAAGAGAATGCAGTAACATACTATGAGAAGAAAAGGGCCATCCAGGCTATAAGAAGTGAGCAGAGTCTGGCCAGAGATGACTACCAATTACTGGACCAGCATGGGCAGGTCATTATCCTACCTCTCAGGACAGGACATAACAAACTCAACCAGCTTATGCACAGGCTTCATTTAAGTAGTTCACCTGTAGCCCTTGTGGGCTATGTGTGCAGACTACAGAACATGACCTGGAAGAATGTCCCTTGTTCAGTTCATTAAGAAGAGAATACTGGCCCAGTGAGTCACCACTGCACACAAAGTTGTATGGGACTAAAAAGGAACTCATAAAAACGGTCAAGTTTATCACAAGAACCTGTCTGTCGGTGTAAATCAGAAAGTGAACACAAGAAGAAGAAGAAGAATAAGAAGCAGTTAAGGAGGGTTAGTCTGAGACACAATCTTCTACCTGGTGAAATTATACTGGACCAGGAAAGTCAAACTGAAAGATGTGGATATCAAGAAAAATGTTTTCTCTAGTGCCAGTATTTACCACTTTTTGTGAGGTGTCTGTGGCTTAGGCGTTGTGAAAGCGATTCATCATGCCAGGATTGCTCCCAGCTGCGGACGGCTTGTCTTGCATTGGATTTGACAATGGTACCGATAGTCCTTAGAAAATCCACAACAGCCGTAAGATGCTGGGGTTGGTTCTGCATCGTCTTGTAAAGGATACGCAACTAACTCATATATAGTAAGGTGTAGGGAAGGGGAGTAATGCGCCTGACAGTTTAAGCCCACATGGCTAGACTAGTACAGTCACCAGCCATATTAAAAGATATAAGACTAATAAAACCACACTGACAAGGCAGCAAGATGTAGACAATGCTACAAATGGGAGACTAACATCAAGAGTTAGACGAACTTCAGTCTTAGACATTGAATGTTGTAGATGTCACTAACACTAATTGTGGAGATGGTGCCTCATTGATTGATGCTCCGAAACTGGTTTTCTCATTACAAAGGAAAAATAGTTGTACAATCTAGACAGTCATAATAAAGCCTATATAGGGCAACTGCTCAGTCAGAAGGTAGAGGCGAAGGAAGGAACAGAAGGGTAATGGAGCTAAATACCATGAAAGTAGTTTTGTTTTGGCTTTGTTTTTTAATTCTTGTAACTAATGCTCTGTTGACAGTGAAATCCTGCGAGTGATTGATTCACTTCAGCTGACTGCCACAAAGAAAGTGGCCACCCCTGTGGACTGGAAATCTGGTAAAGAGTGCATGGTGCTGCCGACCGTCTCCAACGAGGAAGCAAAAACATTGTTTCCTAACATGAAGACTGTCCAGCTACCTTCTGGCAAGGAATACCTGCGCCTGACCCCCCAGCCTTAAGATAATTACATAATTGTTACTTGTCTTTCCATGGGAATTATTTCCTCTTTTTTTACATTCCAGTGCTATGTACAATTCTACTTCTTATTTTCTGTTAATGGACTAGATTAGACAGCATTCTTCCTATTGATTTTACTGTTTTTGAAAAATAACAATCATGTTCTTGTCCTATTTATTTTTAGTTGTTAGTTTTACAGTTTTGAAGCTGATGTTTTATATTACTTGACCAATGTTAAACACATATCCCATAATATGTCAGGCATTACATTGTGCAAAATTATCGTTTCTCTTCTTTGTTTAATGCGTAAACATTGTTTAAAATAGTATAGGTTATGCAGATGTCATATTGTTGACTTATATTGACATATTGCTGAAACCGCACAAAATATGCCACAGATGTTAGACATTGTAATACAGGGAACAAAAAGACAAACCTTCACTTGATGGCAAAACAGAAAATTATTAATCATGGAAACGGGATGCCTGAAAACGGCTGCAGGAGTGACCAGAAGAGATCAAACCAGCGTCATAAGAGAAAAAGGTACAGAGTAATTTCTAAATTGCATACAAAGATGGCAAATTAAATGCTTTGCACATTAAAGAGAATACCTTGCAATGCCAAACCAAACAGGCACACACCAAAATAGGAGAGGGATGTAGCGCAAGTGGTAGACCAAGAACTAAATGGAAAGATATCAGAGAGACTGTACCACATTATGATGTGTCTGTGGTTGAGGTGAAAGAGCAAGAACCAGAGCCTTATGTCTCCCTTGACTCCTGAAGTGGTACTAGAGTGATGGCATTAAGAACAGCCTCACAGTAGTGCTCTTGTCATAGCTCATTAACGAACGTTAAATCTCCCCCAACACTTCACTGAGATACAAGGGTGAAGAGAAGAAAAAGAAGAACTCACCAGTCTAAAAAACAGGTGCCTGTACTCGCCATAAAGTGTCCATTTCAGTATTGCAGAAAAAAATGATATCTTAGAAAGGTGCTGGTACTGCGTATCACTGCGCACTGCCAGAAAAAACTCCATGATCCTGAGTGCTGTTACATTGCTTATTAATTATAAACCATTGTTATTTCAATGGAAACTCATCAGATTATGAACTCACGAAACCTAATAGAATAAATAACCTTTTACAGCTATATTCTGATAACGTTGACAGCTTCTTTGGCATATGGGTTTTACAGCTTACCTTTATTTTCTAAGAAATGTTTATACATGTATTTGCTTGTGTAATTATTTATCCAGATGTGTTACCGTATTTTTCTGTATGAATATAGCTTTGAATAATGTTTACATTACCTCGAGCATCTGCCAGAACCTTTCGTCACTCCCCTCTGCATCAATCTCACCAGACTAGTGATCCATCTTCTCCTCTGAACTGTACACGCTCTCCCACAAGGCACTAACCATGCCTGCCTTATCATGCATCAGTATTCCACCAAGCTGTGCAGAGCCGGCCAGTCTGTCCGTCTGTTCATTTCTTAACACACCGGCGTTCCCCAGTGGAAAAATTCAGACAATACTCCTCACCTGTGTCCTCCGCAGTGAGGCATGCCACTCTGCACGAAGCATGCCTGCCCTCTTCTTTCTCAGCATGCTTTCTAGTCAGTTACAATCACGATGTGTGTGTTGTGTTCTCCAGCCAGTGAAAAGCTGCAGTTACCGCCTCCAACTCCATTCTTAAGCTGGATGTTTTGGTATCATATGCTAGGCTTTCCTGCACCAAACGTCTACAATTAACTTTTGCTAAGAAGCCCGAAGCACTTCTTTTGCCTCTTGACACTGAACCGTCTGTGTAAATGATCAAGTAAATGAACATGAAAGAATCAAATGGTTTGGTGGTCTGGTCTGAATGAAACAAATCTGCCAACAGCTAGAGCATTTTGCATGAGAAAGCAGGCTACAAGGTAAGAGGCTGGCCAATAAAGAGATGGGCGGAGGGAGTTAAAGTAACACTACAGAACCATAATATAACATTAACACAAGCTACACAACTAGCAAAAGACAAGAAACTACATCTAACTCCTCTTTGTGAAATTTCACAGAATAAGCAGTAGGACAAAAGAAGGAGAAGATATAATTGTTAGTTTTACTATTCAGGTAATCGCAGTTCCAACTTCACACAAAACTGGCCGCCCTAAAGTTGCTCCCTTCCTGTGCCCATAAAAACCACACCGAATTTCCAACACTTTATCTATTTCTGCCCCTAAGTAGTTGGGGTGGTCATCGTCCCCCTCTAGGACTACTATCTGTATTATTAACACCTCAAAGATGAGAATCAAACAGGAGCAAATCCCAGGAAACCCCATAACACAAATTATATTAGGGGACACCGCAGTTACCAAGTAACCTGTGGTTCAGTGTGTGGATGGCATGATATATTAAATTTTGTTGACTGAAACATTGGCTGCTTTAAACTAGCATGTACCCGGAGCTTCCACATCTGTTTGTTTGTGCCTGCAGCCTCAAGGGTTCCTTTCCTATCTGTTTATGTCTGTGTATATAAACTAGAACTTCTAGGGATAGAAGAAGTTTAAGTAATCACTGGCTGGTACTCTTCTTCTTCTTCGCGTTCACCAGATGTAAACTCTGACGGAAATTTCTGGTTGTTCGTCCACTTCCGGATGGCAATCCTTTTCCAGACCCGGAGTGTTGTGTGTGCATATGTTTTACAGATCTAACTCATTTGTATGCAGACTGCAGGTTTCTTGCCTCTCAGCCAGATGTACTCTAAATTTGAAGGAAGCTCCAAATTAGTCGACTCTTATGACATGTTTTTGGGTAGGCAGTGGGTCTATTCTTGTTTTCCTTAAAACAGGGCCTCAGAACCCACAGGGGAAACCGGCTGGTACTGAAGGAGTTAGGAATTGCTACTAAAATCATGTAATCAATATCTGGGTCTTATTTTTCTGTTTCTTCTTAGTGTTTGTTTACTGCACTCGGGTGGAAAGTTCTAGTTGTTCAGCCTCTTCTGTACCTGGCTTTGTTCCAGAACTTGAGTTTACATACACATCCATTTTACAGATCTTATTTATTTGTATGTGGCGTCTGTGGCTTAGGCGTTGCCAGTCCGACTCATAACTCCAGCGTACCGCGATCAAAACCCACTGCTCGATGCAGTTTATCATGGAATGGGGCGTCGCAGGTCGACCCAGCCTAAAATGGGTACCAGGATGGCTGTCCTGGGGAAGTAAAGACGGCCGGTGTAATGCTGACAACATTACGCACCTAGTGCCGATTGTTCTGTAAAAATATGGGTGCTCTTCCCAAATGCCAGATGCCCCAGAAGGCATAAAAAGGGATCTTTACATTTTTTTTTTTTACTTTTTTTTTTTTTTTTTTGTAAATGTAAACTGTTAGCTTCTTGATTTTCAGGCTGATGCGCTATGACTTAGAAGGAACCACCCCTAATTAGTAGCCTTTTATGACATGCTTGTTGAGGGCAGTCGATCTATTCTCTTTCCCTAATTCCCAAATGGGATTGTGTAATCAACAGGGAGAGTTAGTGTTATGGAGCAGTGGAAGTTAAAAGTAGGAATTGGAGCTGAGTGGAAAAGTCACAATGAGTTAAGAAAAGTAAATCCGGTGCTTTATTAATATCCTACCCCAGATGATGTCACAGAACAATCCAACATTTCAAAGGGTGGTAAGACTTGAGTTTCCTGGCTTTCTGATGCTTTTAATGACCCCAAAACATCTAGAACTGCCCCTAACCACGACTTACCCCTAACCCACCTTTGTCCCACGACTACATGGAGCCTATCTACCACACCCTGAAATAATAGACTGTCCTGTGACCTGTAGATTTCCCCTGTTTGGGGCAGGATATTAATAAAGCACCGTAAATCCTGCTAGCTGATTTTCATGTGGATTCTGGACTTTATTTTAGAGAACAAAGAACAGACCCACTTGTCCCCCCCCCCCTCCCACCCCCCAATAAACACCCCACCACCAAGACTTTTAAAGCCATAATACATCTGCCTGAGGAACCACTAGTCTGCATACAAATTAACCAGATGCTGTAAAACGGTTTACAGCCAGTAAATGCTAAGAAGATGGTGTCAGTTGAAACCAGCAAACCTATAGTCAGTTGCTTGGTGCTGTAGTATTTATTTCTACCTTTTGCGTCCCACTTTTTGTGCCAGTATACATCACACAGATGTGTAGCTTTAAGTATTGTTAAATTAAATTTATTCAATGTGACTATCCAGTCATCGTTTCCTAAGTCATTTTATCCTGCATCCCACTGCTCTCACGAAATATGTGTATGTGGTCTCATATAGAGACAGTTTTAATTATTTAGTTATGTTCTCATACATCTGGTCCTGACAAAGATGAGGTTGGAACATGTTGTAACCACAAAATATCTGTAGAAAATGAGATAGAGGAAGACAATGTGAAATGTTTTTTTGACAGCTTTTTGTCAAGGCACGGAGGGTGACAACACACAAACTAATACACGCTGTCGAAGATTGCGTATTGTTTAGAGACAGGATCACTCACAACAGCTGGTAAGGCGACTGATGATGATACTGATGTTGTAGGTTGGTTGCGATTCTAAGTGACCAGATACCAAACCAATATCTCCTCTTCTTCAACGTTCACAACTGAAACAGTCAGCATACTGTGTTGTGAGTTACAGCTAGGCTGAGATATGTACTGCTAACCCCAATACATATAATTTAAGCAAACTCTTTTTATTCTTTGAGTCCCATGGAACACATCATACGTTCTTACCTAGAAGCACAATGAACGCAAGATGTGCCGATTTTACGTCTATCTTGACTACCCCTTGGATCTCTGATGCTAAACCCCCTGGGACTTGAAGAGTTAACTATTTTGGTCTGAGGGGGTTAAGCATCACAGGCGAGGTGGTAGGAGAGAGACTTTAAATGGGCACATCACCTGGCTTTTAGGAACCTGTGAACATATGATGTCCATTAAGAACATGCTTGTGAAGGTCCACTCGCCCACTTTCCCAAGAAAGCAC